AATTGAAAAATCTTCCTGGATGGAAGAGAAACGTCTTCAAACCTGGAAACAAAGTCCAGTGGATTGATTCTTAACTTTTTTGGAATGCCAAAAGGTACCAACAGCCAGTTCATCGACCAAAACGTTACTGCGCTCCTTTAGAAAGCAAAGAGAATCGCTCCAAAGGTGAAACCACTGACAAGGAGGGACAATCCAATAATGCTGAGGAGATAAAGTTGCTTTGAAAGGATTTCCGCTGTTTAAATGAGCCGGTTTTATTGATCCCATGTAATATTTTCATTAATGATAATCATCAACATTAAGGCTTAAAAAATTATAATCCATAGAATTTCACTGAGTTTCACTTTCTGAAAAAAACAATAAAAATATTCAATTTCTTGAAGAAATTCTAAACTTTTCTGATGCTCATGTGAATATATGGATATTTATTCATCTGTTTCTGTTTATTAAAGATAAATTTATGGTGTGAGGGATTGCTGAAGAGTCAATGAGTCGATGCAATCAGCTGGTTTTCCTTAGATAGAAAACTTTGAATCAATCTGACTGGATGATCTGGTTAAATTGTAAAGTTCCTTAGATGAGGTGTTTTGATTTGGTGCTATAGAAATAAACTGAACTGAATTTATGTCTGTTGTCTGATTTTTACAGGCGTTGACTTTGGCTACGAGGGTCAGAAGCCTCTCTTCAAAAACGTGGACTTTGGCATCGACATGGAATCCAGAAGTGAGTATCCAGCGCTTCTTTCTGGGACTTTGGGTTCAGCTGGGATGCAGCAGCAGCGGCGCTGTATTGGGTGATGACATGATGGCAGATGAAGCGTAGCGATGGTCCCTCTGTTGAACCCGACCAACATCTCTTTCCTTCTTACTTCCTGTAGTCTGCATCGTTGGACCCAATGGCGTTGGGAAGAGTACTCTGCTGCTGCTGCTCACAGGAAAACTGAACCCTGTAAGTCTGCGGACCAAACTCCATCCAACGCTGTGAACCTAAACACCAAGTTAACTGAAAGCTTGTTTTTTACAGATCAAGGGTGAGATGAGGAAGAATCATCGCTTGGTGAGTCACTGATTGAAATGGTGGGGGGGGTCTCAGTTAGGGATGCACCGATCTGATATTTTTATCGGTATTAGTCCAGATATAACGGG